TGGAAACGAAGCCAAAGAAATGAGAGATCAATAGCCTTCTGTCATATTCTTTTTCTACAAAACAAAAACACTATTTGAATAAACTGTTTGAAGATCGCTTTGAGTAAAAAAAAAGCCTGGTGAGCAGCTGGGCAGGGAAGAGGGGGATTGCGGGTGAGCTAGACTACACTCCCTTTCATTTACGCCCTCTGAGGCTTGGGGGAGGAGAGAGGAGACTGCAGGCGACCATTATCTTGTTTAGATACGGGCATAAGAAGGGCAGCGTTGTCTCACTGCCGACTGCCCCCCTCTCCTAATCAGGGAAGATCAATAACTGCTCGTTTTCATAAAAACTCTCTAAAAATTACGTAAGTAACAAAGTACAGTAGCTTGAAGAGTGGAGTCGCCTCGTGTCCGCGCGAAGCGAAGACCCTTAGTTCGTCTCAGATACTTAGTATAGATGCATATGTAAAAGCAAGTTCAGTGAATGTACTCGATGCAAAAGCATTCGAAGTAGTTCGGGGGGAGGGGTGGAGGATCGGTGTTCAGAAATCATTGAATGAAGGCTAGGGAACCAATGTTCTCAAACAAACGTACCAGTTAGGATGGGCTGAGAAGGTGCAGGTTGTGAACTTTTTTCACTCATTACACACATCCTGGCGATTCATTCTTTCCTCGCTATTAACCAGAATAAACTATGGAGAAGGCTACCGGCAGAATAATCCTGAAATCGATCCACAAGTGGGCAATCGGGCAAGGATCGATCTAGAATCGTCTAGAATCTACCAACCTGATCAAAGAAAATGCCACTGAGGATGGTGAGCCCAAAATCGAAAAAGCCACAGCGTAACATGTTACAATTCCTGGAACGATGAAAAACCTCCAAGTAAATCTTCATTGACTTTACCGGTTTTTTTCTCCTTCAAACCTGAGAGTATAATGGGTTCTTTGGTTGCCCCCTTCATCAACAGAATGTTGTTGTGCCTTATGGCTAGAGGTATAACTGTCGTTAGAGTGATGGTGATTATTTCGACGATGGACAAAAGTAGCGCCAAAATGAAGTCGAACGACAGCGAGTTTCGTGAAGTGTGCGTTTGCACCTCGAGAAAAGTCGATTCCGAAACCACTATCTTTCAGAAGTCAGGCGCAAGGCTGCGCATACCTTACGGCGGAGAGAATAGGAGAATAGGAGGGTCCCTGATGGTATGATTAGGCGCTATGAAATAACAACAGTGTTGTTTTGCGACCCAAGACTTTCTATCTCTCTTGCAGCCCCTAGCCACATAGTTTGGGAACCTTCTATATCTCTCTCGAACACCAACTTCTTCCGTTACCGCGCCTCCCCTCCTCACCCCTTCGCTCGACAGCAACATTTTTTGGGAACGTTTGTAAATGACCGGTAGAATGGGATAGGGTGTCGCACCAGAAGAGGAAATAATTCTTCATATACGTAGCGGTTACAGCCTGTTTTACCAGTGCTTCGAGAACCGCTTCCGTCTCAACACAAAGGCTTTCTTAAAGTATTTGATGGGTTTCGCGCTATCTTTGGTCGGGCTGCACCTTCTCCGAAACCCTTATTGCTCACATGGCTAATGGTAATGCTACATCTGCCCACAGTTAGTAGTTCATGATGCCGCCGCATCGCGCATAGACCGACAAGCAGGGCACGCCATCGCGTTGTGATCATTTCCTGAAAAATGCGACCCCCTAATTCTATCCTCAAATACGACCCCCCCTCCCCATGCTACCTACCACTTTCTTAGATTTTCCCAACTTCTTACCACTTTTTCCATTTATTCCCGAAAACTTTCGAGTCTTTTAGCCGAGAATTTTAGGTCGAGCGAGTGGGGGCTGGGGGGGGAAGGGCCAAGGTCTGAAAAGGGTAATTTTCTCAGCTTTTCCTAAACTCCATCAGTTCCCGATATTTCCCGAAAAAATTCTGGTTTTTCCCCAAAACTCTGCTGTCGAGCGGAGGGGCTGAGGCAATGTCGTCAGTATTCAACTAACATTTTCAACTATCGGAAATAATTTGTATGTATCTTTGACAGTCCCTCTCCCAAGAACGACCAAATATGACCACCCCTTATAGCGTCCGTCAAACAAGAGAAATCAGCTGTAAAAAGATTTTCTCAACCGAATACGACCCCCCTCCCCGCCCATCGTTCGCGGTCAAATCGACCCGCTCGTTGTGATTCATCACAAGACCATGGCGTGCCAGCCAAGGTTTTCTTTCTAATTACTTGGCTAAACATGGCGCTTAGGCGTCAAACTCCATCGTGGCAGCGTACTATACCGTTAATTCCGCGGTCTCATCTCGAAAATTGAACAATCGATGAACTGATTTGCTCCGCGCCACGTTATGAGGTTCACTGCCAGATTTCGTTCACTGTTCAGTGGTTCTAAATCTAATCACAGAATGGCACGCATTCATTCAAACCAGAAAAAGCAACCCAGCTGTCGAATTTTTGAGAAAAGACTGTAAAATAAATGGTACAGAACCGAGGCAGCCACGAACGGCGCTAATGACCTCGGGGTGGGCAACACCTGTGTTTGTCAGCATTCTAAATAAGTAAGCTGTAAACATGTGAATATCGGCTATCAACCCGTTAGCCTTGTTACTACCTCCGCACCCTGTCAGTCCCTGTCAGAATCGTAAAAAAATAAGTGGACAAGAAAAAATGGATAGCGGTTCAATGGAGCTCGTACCATTTTGCCAAGTCTGACAGGAATTTACAGGACTTCCACGATGGGACACGATTCCGAAAGACGAAAGAAAAAAGACACCCATTGGAAAAGCTTGCCCACCCCAAGAATATAAGCCCCCTCCCCCATGAACCAATCGACTTTAGGCCCGAAATGCCATGTTGGTCAACTAGCCAGGAATGCTACGAACGTCTCGGATCTCCCAAACCACATCCAGGAGCATTACTATGGCACCTCTCTGGCAGCCACTGACGGTGAAAACCAAAACCACTGCAGTAAAAATAATTTATTTGAATAAAACTAACTTATACAATAAAAGAACAAAATGGTATCACAATCTACTACATTCAACGGTAGGAACCTCGTGTAAAACCATATTTTTCTTTACAACTATATGTAACTGACCGCCCCAACTTTTCACATTTCTCTTTAGAATGCAAATTATTTACAATATTTAGAACGACTATACCAAAAAGACAATTGTAACAAGTTCCACCACAGATGCAGTACAGGTATAGCGCTATATCAGCTCAACAGTATGCATTTTAAGTGAGGCTATTGGCTAAAACGTCCCATATCGCTTCCTATAGCCAAAATGAACAAATGAAAATATTTTTGGGGATGGGGGATACGGAGGCAGGGGGAGAGGACGATCAAACATAAAACGAACAGCGCACAAAAGTGGCAACCTTAGACATTTTCTATGCTTATCGCAAGCTCTGTGACAAGATAACAAATCACGATGATTACGCGCGCTTTTAAAAAACTATATATAGTCAGGCTGCGTTCATACTTTTCGTCGGCGTTTAGAGCGTTTCGAGCAACCGGAGCGAGTGTATAGGTGTCGAGAGCGTTTCGCGGTCATTCGCTGGAAACGCTGACGCCGCTTAGAATGCTAGATCGATAGCTATACTTTCAAATCGCTTAAAACGCTTATGTCAGCTCAAAACGCTAACGCAGAGTGTGAACGCAGCCTAATGGTAGCACAGCAATGAAGACAATAAATAAAATGTTGAGCGATGTTGGGTGGACAAATAACTGGATTAAGTTTTCAGACCGCTTGAAAACAATTATAAGAGAAGAATGATGCACACGCAGTTCGGGGGTGCCACACAGAAGCCCAGCTATGACAAGTCACGTCTGCTTCTCTGCACCTACTCATCAAAAAATGATACTTTCATACCTAGGATCCGAGATGTGGCAAGACAGGACTGACAAGGCGTAATGTGGCGCAGTCGCAGCACCGCGTGCTCCCCCGAACTACCTCTGCCGCGAAGAATGCCGGAAAGATTGAAAGTTCATCACGAAGTAGGAAGCTGGACATTCCAACTGCTTTCGTTCACGCAATAGACACAATTTTCAAAAGTAGCAAAGACAGAAAAATGTCACAAAATCAAAACCTCCGGAAGGATTGAATTACTCAGTTTCATGTTGGTCTAATCTTTCCGGGCACGTAATTTCTGTCAATCATTGGCTCTTGTAGGAAGATATGCAGAGAACGCTCATTCTGCGCTAGAGGATGTCCGGCTACCCTGAAAGTATCATTCATGAGAATCTTCTATGACTTTCTAAAAAAAGTTTGTTCTGGTACGGAAACGTGTGAATTTTCCACGCAGTTCGGCTTGGAGAGGGCACTAAATTTTACATAGCGAAGCCAACTCAGACCCTTCGTGAAGACCTTGTAAATTCCAGTAGCCAACGGTGGATCACTTACAGCATTTCGCAGCTTTACAGGTGTTTACAGGTCTCACCAAAATCTAACCTGTTCATTAACATGGACTAACAGGGAACTACCGGAAGTGCAAAGTGCTCCTCCCAAGACGAACACTGCCCTCTGTAGCGAATAGCCCTCTGTAGCCACAAAGAGTAATGTTAGTCAAGATTGCGCAGTGACGGGGTGTGGTCATCACTGGTCCCAGGGTATATCACTGCTTCACACACGTTAAATAACTTTATCCCCTTTTCCAGCCGGTGCAGCATAACCACTTATTTCTAGTAGTTCATCTCACAAGTCGGTTCTCTATCCCTCCCCCTATCCGTCTGACAGCAAAGTTTTGGAAAAATTCACGAAGGATGGTAGGTAGGATGTTGGAGGAGGTCGTACCAACAAACTTGAGGGATTGCTGCACTTCGCAAAATTTTCCCCAACAGTAGTACGTACCCTGTACAAGCAAGTAAATGAGCCTATAGATGAAAACAATCACTCATTTCCATCTTACAGAAACACTAGGACATGAAAGGACTCGCAAAGTACAAATTTGTGGTAACTTTTTGTAAAGAAACGTTAGTCATGTACTTTGCGGACGCGCGCATGACAATACTTTCAAATCTCGTTTTCGCCAAAGGGACCCAATTTTCCACGTGTTAAACCTTAGACGGATCTCAGGATGCTACAAAGGGAGTAATCTCTCTGACCTTCAAGTATAAAGGGAGACAGGCCGAGCAGATCAAAAAGGGTAACAATGAACCAACAACTAAACTATAATAAAACAAATGAAACCGTTCAAACTAACTTGTTGATGAATACTTCAAGACCCTTCCGGCGATTTTCTATAAATTCCTCTTCGAAAATACCATCATCAGAACGGAACGGTAGTTGTCTTTTCAACGATTTCGACGGCAATGGAGGGACGACGATCTGAAACATTTAAATATCAAAAAAAGACACCAGGGAGAGTAGGTACAACAGAAAGTTTACAAAATGAGGAAAAAAAAACATTGAAGGGTAAGACACAGAATGAAGGTTACTTACTAATACTATTGCAATATATTGCTAGCACGGTACGCCGTACCATGATGCTAGGCAATCCTCAGCGAAGGGGGGGGGGTGGTCGTGTTTGTCTACAACTGGGTAGCCGTCGTATATGCCTGCGAGAAAAGTGTCTTCGGTCGAGTTCTTTTCGCGGTTTCCGCTGTTTTGAAGGCGCTGTATGTTTCCACTTTCCCCTCACCCCATCTCGTCCCTGATTCGACGGCAGTTTTTGGAGAAAACATCCAGAAAGTGATAGGAAGTTGAGAAAATTTGGGAACATGGTAGGCAGCCAGGTTTATGATGATAGTAGTTAGGGTGGGGGATGAAATAGCAGAGGTCGGAGCAGCGAGGGAAATTGTGAGGTTGGGAGGTCGTATTTTGTAAAAATTCCCCCCAACGTGTCCAGATTGCTGATGATAAGATTCATATGGAAATACTGAGCTGTTCAATAATTACAATCCTAAAACTTTAAAAAAAACTGCTGAAACTTTGATTGTAATGGCTGTTCGTGCTCTGACCACGAATCTCATATTAATATTGTGGATATGGCACCACTCACTAATCTCATAGTCAGTATTGGGTAGGGTCACTTGTCGGCGCTACAACCTT